CCTCCCTCAGACCTCGCTCCCCAGGACCCAGCCCCGTTCGGCCCGCGCAGCGGAGGGGGGCTCACAGTTGACAGTAACCAGCACGCGGCGGCTGTCCGGTGCCGAGTTCACCCCGTTGTGAGTCACGCACTCATATTCCCCGGCCTGGCCTCGCTGGATGTCGGAAATCTCGAGGATCTCGCCCTCCGAGGTGAAGCCGTCTGTGGGGGAGGGCCGGGGAGGGGGCGGGGCCGGACACAAACACTTAACACGGGACAACACGGGCACAACACGGACACACATCAGCGGGGCGGGCACCGCAGGGCCTGGAGTGCCCGGGAGGGAGCGAGACGGGCCTTCCCGGCGGGGGTCTCCCAGGAGGGGGGCGGGGCGCCAGGCTCTGGGGCGCAGGAACTAGAACCGCAGGGAAAATCCTAAAGTTTGAAGCTGCAGTGGATCCAGGGGTCTGGGAGCCCGAGGCGTTGGTTAGGGGACCCAGGGGAGGATTCTAGGATTTTGGGGCTCAGAAAAATCCAGGTAATACAAATCCAGTGGGGGAGGGTCCAGAGTTCTGGGGTCTGGCTCCTGGGGTCCTGGGAATGAGCAATCAGGCTCCAGGCACCCAGGCTCCAGGACCTCAAGACCAGGACAGTGGGACCCAGAGGACCCAGTGGGAGATGCTCAGGGATCTGAGCTCTGCTACTTGGGGTCTGGGTCCCCGGGGACCTAGTGAAGGCCACCTTTGGCCTCCAAAGACCCAGAGAATGAATATCTAGGGGTCTGGGGGATGGAGACCCTGTGAAAGGGGGGTGAGTGCATCGGGGGTGTCACGTTCAGGCACTTGGCGCTGTGGGGAGCAGCTGAGGGCACCTGAAGGGTTCTTCAAACAGATGAGGGGCTCGGACCGCTCAGGTCTGGGTGGGCACCAGAACGAGCATTTACCACAAGGTGCAGGAGATGCTGTACCTGCTCCTTGGGGAGCACAGAGAAGGCCTGGCCCACCCACACCTCCCCTACCCCGTGGGAGCTGAGAGGGTGTGAGCTGGGCATCCCGTGGGGGTCTGAGCTAGGAGAATCCTGTGAGCTTCCAGGGATGAGACTGGGATGTTAGCCATGGGGGGGGGCAGTAAACTGGGGTCCAGTGGGAGATTTGGGGAAGTGGCCCAGGTCTGAGGCTTCAGGGTTGGCCAGGGAGACATGGGGTCAAGGAAAAGGGGACATCAAGCCATCACAAAATTTTGGGGGACAAGGAACGGAGATAGGAGGGATCTGGGACTCCACCTAGGGATGTAGGGACTCAAGGGGCCCAGCTTTCGGAGTGGGGACAAATGGCTTTCCAGGAAGGGTGGGGGCCTCACCTCGGAGCTGCCTCCAGGTAACCGTGGGCTCCGGCCGCCCCACAGCCAAACAAAGCAGGTTCACATTGCCCCCCTCGTTCACTGTCACAGGTGAGGAGATGTTCACAATGCGGGCGGGGACTGTGGAGAAGGGAGGAGGTCAGGGAAAGGCTGGGTGTGGACCCTGGCCCCTCCCCTCCCTCAGCCCCAGGAGTCCAGGCCCCGCCCCTCCCTCAGCCCAGGAGTCCAGGCCCCCCCCCTCCCTCAGCCCCAGGAGTCCAGGCCCCTCCCCTCCCTCAGCCCCAGGAGTCCAGGCCCCTCCCCTCCCTCAGCAGCTGGGGCCCAGGCCCCGCCCCTCCCTCAGCAGCTGGGGCCCAGGCCCCGCCCCTCCCTCAGCCCCAGGAGTCCAGGCCCCTCCCCTCCCTCAGCCCCAGGAGTCCAGGCCCCTCCCCTCCCTCAGCAGCTGGGGCCCAGGCCCCGCCCCTCCCTCAGCACCTGGGGTCGAGGCCCCGCCCCTCCCTCAGCCCCGGGCATCCAGGGTCCCCCCAAGACTTGAGGGTCCAGGCCCCACCCATCCTCAGACCCAGAGGCCGGCTGGCCTGAACTGTCAATCCGGCTCTGTCCTCCCCTCCCTCTGGGCCTAGCTCCTGCCTCCCTCCCTGGGTCTGTCTCCCTCCTCTCCGCCACAGCCTCTCTCCACTTCCATCCTAAGCAGTCTATCTTCTGCCCAGAGTCCCTCTCTCTTGGTTTCTATTTTAACCTATCTATTGTTGAAAACAGTGAGAGCACACAGCAAGGCGGGGTGGGGGTGCGGGGCGCTGCGCTTGGGCGGAGCCCGCCGGGTGTTACCAGTCCTGGCCCTCCTGCAGTGAGCCGGAGCCTGACCTAGGTGCGGGGCTCCAGTCGCACTGGCAGGTGCGCGTTTTCCTCTCCGGCGTGAAATGAGGGTGTCTGTCAGCTGACAAAGTGAGGGTGCCATGCTCCTGGCTGAGACGGCCCCCGGGGTTGGGGTCCCCTTCGGCCCTCCCGACGGGCTTTCTCTGGGTTCCCCGGCTCCCTGCGCCCAGGCCTCTTTTGATGCCACACGGGCGGGAAGCTCTCAAGTTCTGTCCCCCCGGCCCCTCCCTGCGGCCTCTCCTGCTCTGAGCTCTGGGCACATCCAGCCCAGTCGAAGCGCCGGCCTCTGCTCCCGCACTCGGTTCCTCCCGGCACATGCTGTTCCTGGGCCTGGATGGGGGGCTCCCTTAGGGCGCCCCCTCGGGGCGCTGCCTGGGTACCTCCCGGGAATGACCACTCGGCAGCGGCCAGCAGGGACGGCCAGCAAGGACAGCCTGCTGGCCCTCCTCTGTCCCTGGGGCCCAGGGCAATGGCGCAGAGCCTCAGCTCAGTCCGCGGCGGAGGGCCGGCGCATGCGCTTCCCCCGGAAGCCCGCGCCCGGGAGCGGGGCGCAGGCGGGGGCCAGCCCCCAGCCCCGCCGGCTCACCAGGGCCCGGCTCACCGTGCACGATGAGGTAGACCTGAGTGGTGTAGGGCTGGTGGCGCGTCTGGAAGGAGCAGGTGTAGAGGCCCTCGTCGCCCAGCCCCACCTGCGTGATGAGGATGGAGAACTCCTCCGGCGTGTTCACCAGCAGCCGCACCCGCGGGTCGCTGGTCCAGCGGTCGTTGCCCGCGTACAGGATGTTGGATCGGTTCAGCCAGGCCACGCGCGTCACATGCTCATCGATGAAGCAGCTGCGGCAGGGTGGGGCTGAGGTGAGGCGGCGCCCCCCGGCCGCCCTCCAGGGTCCCCAGGGTTGGGAGTGGCCGGGAGCCCTGCGGCTGTGGCTGTGCCCACTCAGCGGGTGAACTGAGCTGCAGGGGCGGCCGGCAGTTGCTGTGTGCCTGGCCACTCTAGACACCCCAAAGGGGGTGCAGACAATCTGGGAGGGGGAGAGGGATGGGGGGAGGCTGGCACCTAGAGAGACAGAGGCTGAGACTCAGAGGGAGGGGAACAGAGGAGGGGATGAGGGGTCGACATGCAGAGGTGGGGGAGGGGCAGAGACCAGAGAGGGGCAGACATGGGGGCACCCCACAGGGCCCAGAGAGAGGGGCAGAGATGGGGG